GGCTATTTTGTAATCTGCTTGTCATCTACATCTACCTTTATAGTTGTACTAAAAATCATCTGAACAATTCCCAGTTAGGGAACTTCTAGTAACTATTTTTCCAGTATTTTACTGTCATGTAAAATGCTACAAAGACTATTTTTATGACTACATCTTTGAGCATGTTGTTTATTTCCTTTTGTTGACACTCTAGGGGTAGAATTACTGGGTTGAACTTTATATATAATTCAAAGACATTTGAAATGTTTGCCAATTTTTTTTCAAAGATGGACAGTATATCCTACTAGGTTTCTATTATGAAATTGCCCATTTTGCTGTTCCCTTGTTAGTTCTAACACACATTCCTTCAGATATTAATGAAGTAGACCATTTCACCCATATTTCTTGGTCATTTTAATTAACCGTATATGAATTTTGTCCATTTGTTCAGTGGTATCTTTGATTTCCACTAGTTCTTTAAATAGTCATCACTACTGCATGATGTTACTATCAATGACAGACCACATATCCAGCGGTGGTCCCATAAGATTACATCACCTGTTGACATTTGTAGCTGTCTTAGTTTGGACAAGTAGATTTTATGATGTTCATATAAGGAGGAAATTACCTAAATATGCATTTCTTAGGCTATATCCTGCCATTAATCAACAAATGACTATAGTAAGAATATTAACTCTTGGTTTTACCAATATTCTACAAATAATTTCCCCTTATGATATTTGAAGTGGTTGTGCTATTGAGAAATATTTAACTTTTAAAAACTTTAAAATTATAAACATTTTTGTTATCATGCTAAAGAGGACTGCTTACTTAGGAATACATTTTTATCTTCTCATGAAGTTTAAATTTTTTACTTGCGTTTTTAATCTATTGTAGATACATTTCCATAAGGTATTGCCTGATGTGTCTCACTCTTTCTAAAATTACTCTTTCTTGTCCAATGTTAGGTGTCACCTTTCTTTCCTTTCTGTTAATATGTATATTCTTGATCCCACTCTAAACTTAATCATTATTTTGATTTTATAATGTACTTTATTAAGAGGATCTTCTTCTTTTTCTTAAATATTTTTAAATCACTTTTTCCTCATGTCCCAATTCTGAGTGTACTCCGTTGAGATTGAAAAGTGAATTTGTGACTTAATCCTTGTGGAATCAACTTCACTATGATATAGTGCCTCCTTCCTCTACTCAACAAAATTGAAGACACTTCCTTTTGTCCAATTCTTTGGTCATATCCCTCAGAAAAGCCTCTCAACCATGATCCAGAGTTATTTGGATAGCGTGTTTCAGTTTTCTCCCAGCCTACCTAATTGGGCCCTATTTGTACCAGGCTTTGGACAAGATACAGATTCATTTCTTTTAGGATTGGGAGTGAAGAATGAGGAGGAAAAGACATCCCATATTTTGGCTTTTCACCTTGGTCAAGAATATGTGATTTTTAGGAATGTTCTCTCCAAGTGGATATTAATTTAGTTTGAATGGCTTTTCCTTCCTGGATTCTAGCTGCTTGGCTCTTGGTTAGAGAGGATTCTGGAGGTAGAGGGATGGGATCCAAGGACACTACTGCTCAGGGTGCTGTTTGTCAATTATGATAGCGACCTACAGCCAGGCTCAGGGAACTTGAAGTGCTCCTCTGATTCTTGAAACCCTCTGAGGCAGTTTCAAGAATCAGGGCTCATTCCTTTTTTTTTGGCCTAGTTACACTCAGAGGTGTGTGGCAACCATTTACTATCAGCTGCTTATCTGTCTTTGGAAGATAAGCTTAGTAAATTGTAGCATGCTTTTGGCTAGAGCTTGCTGCTCATTACAAAATTATCTGATTAAACCAAAATATATTTAATATTTGTATTTTAAACATGTCTGTTATGAACTTTATATTTTCCCCCCAAAAAGGAGTTAATAGAATGAGATTCTCTGGGAGAATTGGCTCACACAGGCTTGTGCTGCTTGAGGCCCCCAGGCACTCCCCCTCTTTTTCAAGGTCAGGTGACCTCAGACAACCTCAGGACACTTAGAAAAATTTCACTGCTGTTTTTAAATGCAGTACTACATATTGCCTGTCAAGACTGTTTTAAAGTATGTTTTTCAGCCTGTTGGGAATGTGTTTTTTTCCTATTATATTTCTAAATCACTGTCCTTATTTTCTCCTATGCTTTCCAGTCAAGCATGTAAGTAGGAAAATCATTTGGAACCTTTTAAAAAAATTAATGGGGTTTGACCTCTTCCCTCCGTGATTCAATATTGTCTGGGGTTGGGCAAGGAGCTAGTTATCCTGGGTCTGAGAATCATTTTTTTCAGAAGCTTCTCACCTTCAATTTGAGAGGCCCTGGCCCTTGGTTTCCAAATACAGGTATCCTGTGGAGGAGACATTGTTTTATTTTTGATCTCAATGTCAGTGCCTCTCAGTTTTAACTATGTGTGAATCAAAGATTTAACTTAGAAGGTGTTGGGTGATTAAACCCTGGACCTCATAAAGACACTGGCTCTTGACTGTCTCCTGGGAGATGACTTACTGGTCTTTGGAACATCCTGCCTTATTAGAATGTCTTTGTATACCTGGAGCCTGAGCCATGCCACATAATGTATGCTAAGGATGTGATATAGTGGGACCCTTGACCTCTGGAGGCGCTGGAGACTTGAGTAATTAAAGTCAGCCACACGGGCCCTCCATGCCTGGTAATAGCCCTGGTCACAAAGGCTCAGGTGAACTTCTCTGTTTGGCGGTACTTCCTACACTGTCCACATTGTCACAAAGCAGATCAAGCACTTCTGTCCCACTGCACTGGGAGATGTGGGAGATGACCACTGACGGCTCGTGCCTGTCTCTCCCGCATTCTGTCTTTTGTCTTTGCTTATTTTAATGTGTCCTTTCATTGTAATGCGTCATAACTAGCAGAAGAGGTTTACCAAGTTCTTTTGAGTTCTAGGAAATCACTGAATCTATGAGTGTTCTTGGGTACCCCAACTTGGGATAAGAGCTCTTTATTTAAGAATACTTAGAGAAGGGAACCAATTATTTCTTCTCTCTTTCCTAGGCCATTTTTAAAGAAAATGTGTATTGGTAGCTAGAGTTTGTCAAATTCATTATAACTTCTTAAGATATTTATTTGATTTTATTGCTGTGAGAGAATATTTTGTTTTTTTCTTGACATTACTCATACTTGATTTTGCTGCATTTTTTCTACAAACATTAAATTTTTAAAAATTGATGCATTATTCCTAAAACTGGAATTTCCTGTGATGTGTTCATACATGCACATGACATAGATTGGTTAACTTCATCCTGTGCTATGTTTTTGACCTATCATGTTATGAGTGATTAGTATTTCATCTTTATAATATATGGACAAATCTTATAAATGCTGTGATTAAAAAAAATTAAGCAACCATTCTAATATATGGTACTTCCTGTGTCCTTAAACAGAACACTCTTTCCAGCATAACATTTTCTTAACTACCCCCATTTTGAACATTGTAGTACGCAGCAGGCCCTAGGGGCCCCATTGAGGCAGCTTCTCTGTTAAATGCTCCCCTGTCTGCTCTCTGCTTGGAGTTCTGGGATTGCTTTGTTTCCCCCTACGCTTTAGTCCTGTTTCTTGTAACTCTCAGGTTGTTTTTCTGTAATAGTCCCTCTCCTCCCTTTTCTTGGCTCCTTTTTAATGGCTGTGGGCTTAGAAGCTGTATAATTAAGCTTGTTAGATAATAATTTCCAAAATGAGAGTAAATAAGCTCTGAGTAAGAGCCCGGGGCCCTGTTCTCTAGATGAAAAGCATCTGTTTCATTTGTAGGATTTTTAAATATCCATTTTGTATTTTTAGAGAGTCCTCCCCAAGCCCTCTATTCCCTGCTTTTTAGTTGTTGGCTACTCCAGAGAAATAAGTCATAAAGTTGATTGGTTAGTTTTGTTTTTCCATCCATTCACTCACTCATTTGATGCTTATTTACTGAGTATCTACACAGTGCTGTTCACTGGATCACTGGATTTAAGTAGGTAAGATGTATACAAAGCAGCCTCTTGCTTAGCAAAGAACATGGGAGAACAGTCTGCATTTTGTTGTAGAAACTTTTGATGAAGGCATTTTGAGTTTTATTTTCTTTGGTAATATGTTTTAATTTGATAATATTGTTTTAATTTGGTCAAACTTTAAAAGTATTAATTGTAAGAGTGTTCTGCAGAAGAGTTAACATACCCAGCCTGAGACCGCTAACCACATAAAGCTATCCACATAAAGCTGGGCATCTTGGAAGATGGCTCTCAGAGTGCTCCTAGGCCATATTTAGCTGATAAGTGTAGTTTGATGTGTCTGGATGGGGCATAGGATCTGACTCTGCTGAACCTCTCTGCTTTCCTTCTGGGAGTCTGGAATTTTGAGACGTGTCAGACGTTGGCTGTGTGAGCAAACCCTCATAAAAACTGTGGCCACTGAGTCTCTCACCTGCTTCCCTAGGCAGAAACATCACACACATACTACATTTTTCAATGCTTGGGGAAAATTTGTGCTGAGTATAGCCCCTCATGGGAAGGTGGGGTCTGGGGGAAACAGAACTTGCTTACATGAGAGAGAGCAAGCACTTGCATACTCTCAGTCCACAGAGAAACTTGCATATGGAATCCTTCCCTTGTGATTCAGCTGTGTGTCCTTACTGTGTTGTATGCTGCATCTTAGCCATGAGTGCAACTATGTGTTGTGTGCCAGGAGACCTCTAGTGAATTTTGAAATGTGAGGGTATTCTGTATTCACAGGCTTAGTGCTAGATGATCTGAAGGAATATTCCTGACAGCTGTCTTCTGTGAAGTAGGTCAATGTCATTATCATTGGGAAGTGAAGTCTGTGGAAGCTTTCTGAGGTTGAGTAACCTGTATGTCCTATAGCTCATAATTTTATATCTATTTTTCTCAGATGTTTGTACCTTATGGTCTCTTTTTTTTCCTGTTGTTTAAATGGGGCATTTAAGTGAGGGAAACTACTGAGTGTTTTTTAATGCCTTTGTCACTTCAGGTATGAGCACATCCTCATGGAGCCAGACCCAGTACCAGCGTATGCTCTCAAACTGCTGGTCGCGATGACTGAACACAACCCGACTTTTACCAGGTACTGTAAGTTCAAATCTCTTGGTCTTGTTTCTCATCTATCAAATGTGTTTTATGTGATCTGGAAATGTTGTTACAGACGATGAGATTCTAAAATACCAACATTTGAGCTGCCAAAGTGGTACTTTTTCATATTTCCTGGTTTGTACTATCTGTCATGTATGCTGTGCTGGCTCTTGTGCTCAAATTTTTAATCCCTTACCTGAGTTTGCATCCTGTAAAGTGCATGATGCTTTCAAAATGATAAATTCTTTAAAGGGAAAAAAACTATTACATAAAGTTTTAGAAAATTGGTGCCACATTTTTCATTGAATATTGTTAAATCTCAGTAGTATTTATTGACTCTTAGTTGCTACCATTTTATTCAATTGACATACTATTCTTTAAGTGGTGGGGAAATTTTGCTGTTATTGAATATACTGAATAATGCCAGATTGCATTAGCACTGGTTGCTAGAATACTTTTAGTTTTGCCAGGCATAGTTCATCGAGAATACCTGGAGCCACAGAAGGGAAACACAGGAGGAGGTTTTCCTTACTTTCAAACAAGAAAACAATTAGTGTTGGGCAGGCGATACCTGAGTTCTTTCTGGGCTTTGAATACCATCCATAGGAGCAGGGCCTCCAGAGTCACCGGTTCATTTTAAATAAAGAGTTAAATCACACGTTTCCAACCACCTGTGTTTTTTCTTGTCCGCTGTCTAATCACAGAAATGCTATATTATCATGCATTACCATTTACTTGCTACTAGTAAATAAGAAAGGCTTTTCTACTTTAGAGAGTGGAAAGCTGGGTGTGTGGGAGTACCTGTGTGTGCCATGAGTCACCATTGCCACATGTTCTTGGTCTTGTCCATAATGCTGGGGCTGTCCAGCTTGCAGTCTGGCTACCTTCCTTTATCTGTTTCCCGAAGGTGCCATACAAATACTACCTGGTCCTCTCTGGGTGGTGTTGCAAAAGAACTCGGGGAGCACAATGAAAACCCCATGTTCCTGAAGCCTTTTAGAGTCTTCCAAAAGGTGTTGGCCACGGAACTCCCAAGTTCCTCACTTGGAAAGGACCATTTTCTTTTCCTAAAGAATTAGTTAATTCTAAAGAGTAAATCTGTCTTAGAAGTTGAGTAGAAAGTCAGATAGTTTCTTCTCTCCTAGGCATTTGACATCAAGTACTAATGCTGTATGCTAATTTTATCTTCTCATGAGATTGAACAGATTGCATTTACTTTTTTAATGTCGACTTTAGCTCATTCCTGTGACATGTTTTCTGTACGCCTTTTCCTTCTTGCCAACTCTATTAATTCAGTTAAATTTCCTCATATTGGTGCTTGAGGAGAATTCTAGAGAAGTAGAAACAGGTAATTGTAGCTTCTATAAAACTATTTTTATTTTAAAAATGATCATAAAATAGGCTTAAAAATTAATTTACTCTAGTTTTTATTCCCTAAGCAGAGTTTACAAACAGAATTCAGTGGGCTAATTTATATTTTTGTTTTATTTGAGCAAGTAGTGTTTTCAACATGTTGTCTTTCTCTTAAATTCGAAAAGTAGAATCCAGAGATTTCCTGGGTTTTCCTATCTCAACCCCCCTGTCCCCCAACTGCCTCTTACACTTCTCTTCCCTTATGGTTGATGTTGTTACTGTTTTAGTGTGTGCTTCCTAAACAATGTCACACTACTTAAATTATATGTATAAATATATATATATATACACACACTGCAATGCTTTTTAAAAAAATATTTATTTTTTAGTTGTAGTTGGACACAATACCTTAATTAATTAATTAATTAATATGTGGTGCTGAGACTCGAACCCAGGGCCTCACATGTTGTAGGCGAACAGTCTACAGCTGAGCCACAACCCCAGCCCCATCTGAAATGCTTTTAATGCAAGTGTTTATTTGTATTCTTGCTAACTAGTAAATAAAAATGGAATTTCCTTTTATTTTGCATTCCTCTGACTGTTGATAATATTGAATCTCTTAATGTTTATTCACTGTGTCTAATTAAAGTGTAAAAGGTGAATAACCTTCAAACTTCAGTTCTACTTCCAAGAATCTGTTCTACAGGAAAACTCCCATATGCACAAAGATTTCTCCTGAGGCAAATTTTTTTCCAGTACTAGGGATCAAATCCAGGGGGGCTTTACTACAGCTACATCCCCTAAGCCCTTTTATTTTTGTTTAATTTGAGATAGTCTTGTTAACTTGCTCAGGGTGGCCTTGAAATTGTGATCCTTTTTACCTCAAGTACCTGGGTTATAAGCATATACTATCATGTCCAGCCCGAGGCAAATAATTTTTAAAATGTGAAAATTTTATATTATCTATATAATTTCATATGAATATAAGTTGAATTATGTAACCATAATATAGAATACAATGTAATTATTTAAAAGAGCACAATCAATTTTGATTGAGCAAAGATACCTAAATCGTTTTGTTAAATGGATTAACTGCCCCCCATGCCAATTTTACTTTACATGGGGTCTTCATAGATTCTGTTTTGCCTGCCTTTTTTCAAAAAACAAGGTGTTAAGATAACAGTGGCACCACGTGTTTTGGTGCAGGCTCCAAGGGTCAAGAGCAAAGCATTTAATTCTGGTTGTCTTCTAGCTCCCACATACTTTAGGGTGGTCCTTGGTCCTGGGACCCATGTGAAACATGACATGGTCATGCACCAGCCTTAAAGGTAGGGGAGGGAAGAATAACCAATAATTAGACTTTGGGGATTTGTTTTTATTTCCCTAATTAGAATTTTTAAAAATATATTTTAAGTGGAAGATTTTGGAATGGGTAACACTTTTTTTTTTTTTTTTTTTTTTGCTGGGGAAAGAAAACAACGTAAAAAGACATTGAAAAGACTTATTCCTTTCCTTGTTTGTCTCATTTCCTAGCATGACCTGTGGTGCGCTGCTTTTATTTCTTTCATGTCCAAATGCAAGCTAATGTGAATGTGTATTTTCTCATTTCTACCTTTTACACCTGAATAGCATTATGTACGTTTTCCTGTCCCTTGATTTTTTTCACTTAACAGAATATTCTCAAGATTTGCTTCTTATATCAATATGTAGAGAGCTTCCACATTGTACTTAATAGCAGTGAGATTTTACATTGTGTGTATATATCATAATTTATCTAATTAGGTTGTAATGGATAGACTTATTTCTAATCTTGTGATATTGCAAACAGTGAATAATGTTATATATACATACACTGAACTCTAAAGAGATGGTTACTGTTAATTTGTGTGTGTGTTATTTTTCACATAGATGGTAGCATGCCAAATACCCTGTTTTTCATCTTTTTAAAAACAAGACTTTATTGGAAGGCATTTTACAATTCTTCCTCTTTTTAAGATATAATATGCATTTTATGAATATTCCATAGTGATTTAACAAGTCCTCTTTTGGAGAATATTTTTTCTAACCTCTTGATATGATTAATGACATAGGTTGTTACATGTGTGGATATATATATAGGGTAAATGATTAGAAGTGGAATTGCTTCAACAGTTGTACAATATTTGTAGTGTCACCTGGGAATTTGTTAAAATTTCTAAAGCCCTGGTCTTTTCTGGCCAATAAAATCATGATCTCTAGGATTAAATGCACAAATACCATTGAAAACCTCTAGACTGAGCATTTCTAATTTTGAAAGATGTTCTCAAATTGTTCCTTGTCTAATTTGTACCAATTTCCTGTTCCTTAATTTTCTGTTCTCTTCACTATGTATAAGAGTGGCAGTTTGTGTGAAACCTGTATCAAATTAGTGTACATGACTTTTGTCATTTTGAAATATGAAAATTGAGTCTTTGATATTCACTTCTTTAGTTAATTGCATTGTGATCATCACTGTATAATATTTTTCTTCCATTTCTGGTTTGTAACTACTTTTATATACTAATATATGGTCAGTTTTACAAATTTTCCATATTTGCTTACTGTAACCAAAGCAAAATAGTCCAGTGCTGAGAACTATCACCCTTATTTTGGCATGGATCTAAAATGCTTATTGATTCTTGATTTTATTTCTGGCTCTATAGGAGTCTAATTAAGGAAGTCGGGGACTAATCCGACATGATGAAGATTTGGGCCTACTTTTTCTTCTTCTAGGCATAGGGTCTCTGGTTTAAATCCTGGGTCCTTGATCCATTTTGAGTTGAGTTGTGTGCATGATGAGAGATAGGGGTTAGTTTCATTTTGCTGCATATGGGTTTCCAATTTTCGAAGTACCATTTATTGAAGCTATCTTTTCTCCAGTATATATTTTTGGCACCTTTGGCTAATATGAGAGAATTGTATTTATGTGGATTTGTCTTTGTGTCCTCTACTCTGTACCATTGGTATACAAGTCTATTTTGTTGCCAATACCATGCTGTTTTTGTTACTATTGCTCTGTAATATAATTTGAAGGCTGGTATAGTGATGCTACTTGCTTCACTCTTCTTGCTAAGGATTGCTTTGACTATTCTGGGTCTCTTATTTTTTCAGCTGAATTTCATGATTACCTTTCTATTTCCATGAGTAATGTCATTGGGATTTTGGCTGGAATTGCATTAAATCTGGATAGTGCTTTTGGTAGTATGGTCATTTTGACAATAATAATTCTGCATATCCAAGAACAAGGGAGATCTTTCCACTTCTAAGGTCATCTTTAATTTCTTTCTTTAATGTTCTGTGGTCAGTGAGGTGAATAGAGAGCCTACAGAATTGGAGCAAATTTTTACCACACACCCATCAGATAGAGCACTAATCTGTAGGGTATATAAAGAACTCAAAAAACTTAACATCAAAAAACCCAATCAATAAAAGGAACAAGGAACTGAACAGATATTTCTCAGATGGTGATATACAATCAATCAACAAATATATGAAAAAATGTTCAACATCTCTAGCAATCAGAGAAATGCAAATCAAAACTACACTGATTTCATCTCACTCCAGTCAGAATGGCAGCTACTAAGAACACAAATAACAATAAGTGTTGGCGAGGATGTGGGGAAA